TAGCGGCAGTAATGAGCAGTTGAATTATTAGAGACAGTAATGAGGATATAGAGAAAGATATTAACAATAATAATACATAGTCGAGAAATATCCTATATGTAGCACCCTCAAATAGTGCAATGAAAGAGTCAACGAGTAAAGATCAATTTACGAGATATCTGATTTCTGAATACGAAAGGGTTAACAAAAATCGCATCAACGTTAAGTTACCGCGAAGAAATTTGAAAATTTTCAACACTAACCACTCGAGCAGTTAGAAATTCGATCATTTCACATTACACGACCTAATAGCTTAGTTTGAACGTGTCGAGCAGTATTTGAAGAGTGTAACCGACGAGTGAAGAGTTGAAATTTATGCAGCGACTTTCTCCAAGAAATTTCCAATATCTGTACGGACGAATCCTTCGAATTTTGAGATTATTTACCACGATAGTTCGAGTACGATGGAGTAATAACGATAGACGGTAGAAATAAGGTGTTCGTGTCTGGGCTGATCCGCGTCGATCGAACGGAACAAAGAGAATTTACGATTATAGTCAATAGCGAGAACAATTGTACCAAAGGTAGACGTACGAAACGTTAGGTATATAGTATATTCAGCCGTATATGTGTAAATGTCCTTTTTATTTGCGTTAGTAAGGTATATATGTACTAAAGAGGAGTCTAATGACGTTTGATCCCTAGGAGACTCGTTTGAACATCGTGTATGTCGAGTGTTCGATTAAATTAGAATTTTCTCACGCAACGAAGAAAGTGTGTCTAACGATAAGTGAAATTTTTATATATATTTACAAGAAATTTTTTTTATACTTTTTTCAAGGATGTTAAAGACAGGTTCAAAACAGTCTCGAAGGGGCTTCAACATCGTGTATTTATATATTTGCAAGTTGCATTTATCCGAGAACCGCGAAAAACGCGGCCACTATTATTTATTTATAACAAAACACCCTGTATAGCGTTTAAGAGAACGAGCCTGGGATTTTTTTCTTAAGTTATTCCACAGAGTCATTCGCTGTAAATTTTTCGTCGTGCAATTCGTTTAAACGTGGCTCGAGAGTGTGTATTCGTTGTAAATATACATATATATATAGAAATAAACGACGAGTTTATCAGGAGGTTAATTTTTTGGCTAATTACCAGATTGAGCAAGCTTCAGTTGCGATTGTTAATTGTTTCATTGCGTTCCTTTCGATCATACGAAATTGACAAGTTTAATTTAACTGTATAATTTTTAACAGAGTTCGCATTTTGAAGATGAAATATTTTTTTATAGTTCACTTGTAAATAGACGATCGATCTGTTCTATGTTTTCTCTTTCTCTCTCTCTCTCTCTCTCTTGTTTCTTTTTAACGTTGCATTCCTTTGCCAAAGAGTCGCCACGATATTTAGAGCGAAAGCCGTGTAGATTTTTAACCGTGCGACAAAAACAAGCAGATTCACATTTTCTTTGCTCCCGCAACGTGAAATCGAAATTTGTCACATCGAGTCGCATCGAGAGATTGTGCAAGAAACAGTCACGAGATCCGCGCGACTCACACGGGCAACTGTAACGAGTACAATGAACCTTGTGTATTATTTCCGCATCGACGTGGTAAATTGTAAATATTCCCTTGTATACGTTATCGTTCCACGTAATTCACCTATAAAAGAAAAAACAAAAACAAAAGAAGAAAAGTATCGTTCAACGTGTGTCTGAATATCCGTCGACTTTCATTCTACCTTTTGTTTTCCTTGAAAATGATAATAACAGTCATTCTCGAGATATGTTTTCAATAAAACTTTTAACAACTAGGTAACACAGTACAAAGTAACACGCTATTCGCAAAAATTAACGACTTCGTATTGTTCGAATAATACAAAAATAAATACGACTATTACGAGAAAATTCCTACTGTAGCGTAAAGAAAAAGAACAACACACTTGCTAAACAGTGACTTGAAATTAGGAGAGAATAACGATACACGTGGGTGTCGTGTGATGATAAAAATTTTATTTACAAATGCGACAAATGTAGGAATTTCGGGTACCAGTGACGTATCGGAGAGAAACGATCGTGAAAAACGATCCTAAATATACTTTCAGGTTCCTCTGTAATAATGTTAACACACCAATTTCCAATACCTAACCATCGGGGTAGTATTATATCTGAACGCGCCACTCGTCGACGACGGCACGTCGCGTTCTCTCCGGTGAGATCACTGATAGAGGAGAGAATCACTGAGATGTAACAATAATAAACTTTACATTAAATACGATTAGAATCTAGCAATTTTCTTTTTTTCATTTTTTCATCAAGGGCTATGCGGAGTGTTACAGTAATAGAAATATTCATTTTTCCAAAGGAGAAAGGGTTTTCGTCTTGCGGGATACTTTCTGGGAAAAAAGGGGGCGTGGGGTGGAAGGGGGCGTGTCGAGTGGGAGGAGTCTCGGGACAAAAGGTGGAGGGAGGGGGGAATATACCTTTTCGTTTCGAAGTTTCCAAGGGTAACATCACAGCATTGACATATCAACATCGAAACGATCAGAGCATCGAGCCTCTCAAGATTCGTCGACGATACAAATTTAATCGATCGATCAACTGAATGTTACACTCTTAACCCTTTCATTTTTTTTTTTCTCGACAAAATTTCACGAAGCTCGTGAAAATTCATCTCGAGAAGGACAAAAGGATAAATATCGATCGTCGAGAGATTCTCGAGGGACACGCTGCCACGATCGTAGCACTTTTCATTTTTGCTATAGAACAATTTACAACATCTCGTTTAATTAAACGCCTCAATTCCGTCTCCGAATAACCGCAGCTCGCTTACATTAAACCACAAATCCTCTGGTTCTCCTCAATCTTCTCTCTCTCTCTCTCTCATTCTTGCTCTTATTCGTCCATTTTCATCCCTTTCTCTCAATCTCGTTCACACATACATACATACATATACGTGTACACTTGTTCCACTTTCTTCTCTCATCCGTTACACTCGATATACAATTAGACGAATTGTTAATTCGATTAACGGCGAAGCAATCGACTGTTCCATCCCATTCACTATGTTTTCACTCTCTTCTTCGCATGCTAAATACCTTTGCAACAACAACAACAACGAAATAAAATTCGCTCGAGGAAAACGAACATCAATATCTATCTCTTCTCTCACTTTCTTTTTTCTCACTCTCTCTCTCTCTCTCTCTCTCCTTGTTTCTTGTTTCCTCTTTTAGTTTATGGCAACCAAGAGTAATCGCAAGAGGGGAATTAATAGACAATGTACACAGGGGAAAAACCTTTGATCCAACGAACCAGCCGCAAAAGAAAAATAAAACAGTGACCGAGGACGTATGGCGGTGCGCGATATACCTTCCTCGTCGTTTCGAAAAATCGTGCACACGCGCGCACACCAATTTATGTATGGGACAGACGGCGCTTGAGAGCGCATCGAAAAATTGAACACGTTAGAATTTCACATACACAGGCGACACAGGACTTCGTCCTCGGAGCGACGACGCCGGTTGATTCGAATCGACGATCGTTTGTTTCTTTGTCCTTTCTTATTCACTTTTCATTTACGGGACGGCGTGACAAAAGCAGCTTTGCATTGATCGTAAAACAACATTATTTACTCGAGAAAATTCCATCGTTTGTTTCTTCTCCATTTATTCCTCTTCATTAATTCGATAATTAATTAATCAAGTTGAAGAGCATTGTTTTCTTTTAAGAATATTCAAAATGCATGCAATTGTCTTCTAGTATCTTCTCTAAAAAGTGTTCCTTCTAATTCTAAAAAGTAATCTAAAAATTGAATCGGCGGCAAGACAGTTCTCACGTTTCCGTTACTATGATTCTGTTTCTTATGTTTTTTTTTTTTTTTGTATTTTTATAGATTATGTCTTCTCTACTCGAGCGTTCGAATAGGTAAAAAAGCAGCAATGGGAAACCGATAGAGTACGATTCTCCTTTTTATCTCTCCCACGTGTCGAAGACAAAATCACGATCATCGAGTCAAACCCACAATGGCGTCTATTGCGCGTCCTAGCACCACGTCTCTTCCTCCCTTATCACGTTTCCTCACTCTCTGTACACACAGATATATACTTTCGAAACCACAATTGTACCGCGGCCAACAATATTTCTCTTTTTTATTGCGAAAGCCTTAAGGCTCGTTACAAGGACAGGCGTTTCGCGATATCTCTAAAACACAACGAGACACAGTCCGCATCAACGAAGGTTTTCTCTGTTGGAAAAAATCCTACGAACAGGCGGACGAATTTTTCCACATTGCGTCAAATTTAACAAACGATTTCTCCTTCCTTCGTCGATGCTTCGTTCTCGATGCGTACTTTTTTCATTTTTTTTTTATTTCTTGGACCTTCCAACCATTCGTTAATTGGGGTTGCGTTCTTTCGAGGATGGAGGCGTGGTCGATCGAAATCGAACCACGCCTCTTTTTGAAAAGCAGCTTCGATATTTCTGTTTTTTTCTCCTTTGTCTTAAACAACGCGTTACACGTGCACACACTGTGCAAGCCAACGCAAATTATAACTCATTCCCACGTGAAATAAAAGATCAATTCGCGCCCTGTTACGTGTTACATAGTTTTTTTATTTTTCTTTTTTGTCGAACGAATTGTACTTGCGCCCTCTCGACTCTTTAAACACCTCTCGAGTAAAAAGGTTTCACACGTCGCTTCCAGTCTTCCCTCTCTCGCTTTTCCGTTTCCTTCCCGTTTTTCAAACTTGCTTTAGAAAGCACCGATACACCCTCGAGTGTATTTTATATACCTGTGTGAATCTTTTTTTTCATGAAAATTCGATTGTGTTCCCGAATTGGACTTTCATTTTTCTTCGTATTCTTTCTTTCCTTTTTTCTTTGCCGTGAATTTTTCTCCACTGTTTTCTTTTCTTGGTGGTCAATTGTTTCTTGCAGGGGGAGATGTTTGATTTCTTCTTAGTTTTGTTTTTTTTTTTTTTTTTTTTTTTTTTTGAGAAATACTACGAAGATTCATATTTTTTTTTCTTATTCTTTTTTGTAACATAGATCCGAATTAAATCTCTCGATCGAAGCGTGTTTTGTCTTTTCTCTTCACTTTGTTCGAATTTAGCGCGCTAATTAATGGACGTTACAGATTCCGAATGCTATAGTCTCGATAAGACGATAATACCGGAAAGAAAGACCGGAAGCCGCTAAGAAACTCTAAACCGAAGTGAAGTTTACAAAGCCGACGAAATTTCGCGTCAGTAGCTACGGGGATCGTTCATCTACGGAATTATCGAGGATTTACTTCGCAAAAATTCGTGTGTATTGTGTGTCTGTGATAGTGTAAGAGACGCCGTAATTCAATATTCGTTTCAGGTCTGCTGCGTGACGTGGGTTTCTATCGCTGCCTAACGAGCGAGAGATTCTTAGAAAATATTATAAAAAATTCCCATTTCGCTAAGACGCCAGCTAGACGTCGCATATAACGCATCGATCTATCGATCGTTACCTTAATTACGACAGACGCGTCTAGAAAATAGTAATGATACACCATAGCTACGATTTAAAATCGGTTGGCCTATGCGTCGCGTACGCTACTCGTGCATCGCTCCCAGGAAAAGAGCGACAAAACTCTTAAAATAATCGAGCATGCTCGCGATAATAACGTTTTCTCTTCGCGGACAGCTTCGTTTCGACGTGAAGAATCATAGTTCGAAAGAAACTGTGGCTATCACGACGCGTTCATTATGAAAATTGCACCCGAAACAGCGACGCGCAAACGAAAACGACGGACACTTCGTTTTAGTCGAAAAAGCGTAAACTCGCCTTTTTAATACCGAAGTGGAAGCGTGAGTATCTTTTCCTTTTTAAACAGACTTCATCCAGTGATCGTGTTTTGCAAAGATTAATATTTTTCACCTAGTATATACAAGTGTCTCGAAACGAGGCTCGAACGAAATCGCAAGTCCTCACGAAACTCGGATTGCAAAGGAATCTCCGAGCTGAAGAACGTTCGACACCGATTCGTCTCGAATTCGAAACGAAACTTCGTTCGCGTCGATAGAAAAACTCTTTCCGCCTAACGGATAAAAGTGAAATCTCCGATAAGAGAAATCAGGAGCGGCGACCGCCAATGAAATTCGTAGTTCCATAGCGCGTAGCAAGCGAAGATTTGAGAAACTTATCGAAGGCTGATCTCCGCACGAACGTCTACAAATATTAATCGTTAAACGCGCCCGGTAAAATTCGTCTCGAGAGCCAAGATATTTATTCTCTTCTGAACACCCATTTAACACCGCTAAAGACGCCGGTTAAAATTCAACGAACAGTTGTTGCACGAAGATCTCCCTCGCTTCAAACACCTGTTTTATTAGAATCTTCCCGCGCCAATTTCGACTGGCGAACAAACAACGCGTGCTACTTAATAAGGACTTTAAATCACTTTCAACGGATTCATCATTCGATTAGAAAACGACGTTGGATCGCTGGCTGAAGAGACGAGCACCCTTTCACGATCCGATCGTGATCCGATCGATCGAACGGACGAATAAAAAAAAGGAGAACAATATTGAAAAAGGAAGCAAAGCGTCATGCACGAGAGTTTCGAAGAAAAGCTCGAAGATCGAGGAACTTCGCCAGCGATCGATTGAGAAAAAGGGTGCGAAAAAACGGTGTTCGGAAAGAAACGTGATAAGAAAATTCTCTAAGGAAAAATTCACACAGCAACGTCACACACGTGATACTTGGTAACCTTTTTTTCTGAAAGAATGCCATTCGAACGTAATCGTTTTTTCCAGCGAAAGAAAACGCCTCCGTTCATCGTAGTCTCGCTATTTAATCTAACGATGCGATAATTAGCGTCTAAATTATTTTTTAGAAAAAATTCAATACGTATGTTTCGTTCTCTTTTTTTCATTTTATCGTTATTTCAACTATGTCGGCCGTGTGCAACAGGCCAGGACTATTTTTTATTTATTTTTTTAATCGTTTTTCTTTTCTGTCGGCAAAGAATGGCGTGCCTAAAATTCTCGTTCGTTCTACTTTAAGAAACGACGTTGATTTCAATATGTGTGTGAGTGTGCCTCTGAAAAACCAATGCACACATGCTATAGTATCGGAAATCGATCTCGACGTTGTCAGATTGCCACGATTGGATCCATGCAACTGTTGTGTTTGTATGCCTCTGTGTGTATTTAGGTGTGTGTGTGTGTGTGTATTGAATCGATAATTCGATAAATATCTTTGGTATCTTTAGTTGCAGCAAGTTCGTAGTGCGTTTTCTTTAAAGCGTCCACGCTTGTACGCGAGGATCGAAAAAGTGCCTCTGTAAATGGTAAAAACAACGTGAAATCTGACAAACATTTCAGCGTAAAACTCCCGTGATCCTCGTTGCGCGCACGCTCGCAATGAAATCGAAACGGAAAGGACTCGTGTTATTGCGCTTTGCTTGGTTGTTTGTTTTTTTTTTCTCTTTTCTGTTTCTTCATTCACTTAAAGGCATCTTACAATATTTACACGGTATCTATTGATTCTATGGTACAGTATCGTTTTTCTTCTTCTCCTTATTATTTTCTTACTTTCACTCTATTTTGTTTCTCTCTCTCACACTTTCTCGTTCTATCTCTCTCTCTCCCTTTCTCTCTTCAGTTCTCTCACGTTCACTCTTTCATTATTAACCTCGATAGGAATTCTCGTCGAGTGACAGAGGTGGAAGTGTTCACTGCATACTTATACGATATGTTTATAAATAAATAAATATCTACGTATATATTTATTTATATATATATCATTTACGTATGTATACTATATACACATATTAATGCTCTTCTTCTGTGTGTATGTATATACGCAAATTACTGTGTTCATCTCGTGTTCGTGCGTAAAATCTTCGAGTGTGTGTGTCTGTGTGTGTGTGTGTGTGTGTAATTCCTCTTCACCAAATAGACTCTAATAAAACGTATAAACACATCAGCCTAGCGTGGCGACCATCAACTCGCCACACGTATATTCGTTAATCGAAAACTTTCAATCGATACGATAATGATTATCTGTTTTCCCAACCCATCGCCACGCACCTTACATATCATTTCTCTTCCCTCTCTCGTTCTACAATAATTTCTCTGGTTCGTAAAATCGTGAAATTTGCTCCGCGACCGAACATAACGCGCGATCACTAAATTTCTATCAAGTATAGAATTGCGAAATCATGCGATCCGATTCTAAAAGAATTAATCGACTATATTAGAGTGACAACTTCTTCTCTTCTCTCTCTAAAAGTCGAAGCAATATTATCGCTCATCTGTCGGCCGAATTGAAAGAATTCATATACGCGAAACTTTCGTGTATTCTTTTTTCTCTTTTCTCTCTCTTTCACTCTCACTCACTCTCTCTCTCTCTCTCTCTCTTTCTCTCTCTCTCTCGATTTCGTTTCATTTGATTTCTTTTTGGTTTTTTCATTTACCTTCGTTAACTCTGAACGATTTTGTTCGTCTAAATTTCGAGCGGTGGATCTCGCCGTCGTTTTATCAAAAAGATCCACGCTCGATAAATCTCATCGATCGTAAAAAGTCTGATGCTTCTCGTGGGGGTGGGTATAGGGGCCCGGGAGGAGTCAGCGCAAAAATTAAGGCCCCAGGGCTCTTTATCGTTTCTCTCATTTTTCTCTCGTCCATTTTTTCCATCGCTTTCTCTATTTATCGAGATTCTCTCTACCTTTTTTTTTTTCTTTACACTCAATCGTGTCACGAGTGTGTAATTCAGCTCGTTTGTCTGTTCACGTGACATTATTCTCGTGTACTCTCTATTCATCTCCGTTGAGCTGGTTCCGCGAATGGGGGATTTATCCTGTGCGTACCTTTTGTTTATCGACAAGGACATTCGATAATCATTTGAACCCGCCCATCGTTTTGCGGAAATCCTGTTGGAAAAAATGCTCGTGAAAGTTTTCGTTGGCCACACTCTCCTCTCTTTCTTTCTTTCTCTCTTTCTCTCTCTCTCATGCTCTCTTTCTTTCTTCCTTTCGTTCCATCTTTCACACACTCTCTGCTATACTTGTGACGAACACGTTTTTATGTAATATATGTATATGTATGTATATCTGAAAAAACTCTGTAAAACGAGGTTGGGGAGAAAGGGGGCGGGGGAGACAGAAAAGCCATTTACTTGTGTGATAACAACAACAACCACGGTTGCAAGAGAAGGATCAATTCTACTGTTCGATTCTATCGAATGGTCGAAACGATCGTAACTACGAAAATCAACGGGGTTCTTGTGTGTGTGTCTTATGTTTTTCTTCTTTTCTTGTTGTTCAAATTCAAATACCATTACGAAAATAGAATCTACGTGTCCACTATAATGGACTTATTATACTCTGTACGAACAATAATAATCAATAATAATAATAATAATAATAATACGTTGGAATCAACGGGAGAAATGAATGAAACACTAGCTCGCTAATTCATTACTTCTCTCAAATAAGCTCCGTACACAATATCAGCAATCGCAACAGAAAACTTGTACTTGAGGAAAATAGAATTCTCGTCGTGTCGTGGACAGCGTGCACGCTGATTAACATCAACAATTCAACAATTATCGGGAGAAGAAGAAACGGAATAATTTCAATTCGATCAACCTCTCTCTCTCGTACCTCGACCTTCTCTCGTCTTATATATTTTACAAAATAGCGTGCACGCTTCTTCAATGATGAAACTAATCGTCGGTCTAAAAATCAGAACCGCTCAACAAGCTGCCCGTAGGGCAGTGGTCGGTAGCTCGAGCAGGCAACGATATTCGAGCAACAAGCCACGCCTATTCAGGCAACGATATAATTTACACAACTCCCAATCACAATCGTTGTTCCCCCACTCCGTTTCAAAGACCGTCGACGTTACTTGCCCATAGCTTTGCCCGTAGCACTGCCCGCGGGCAGCGGCGGGCGCCCATGCCCGCGAAACGAGCCCGCTTGAGCGGCCCTGGCGAAAAACTATCACACCGACGTTACAAAGGATAGAAAAGAAATCAAAGTAGAAACAGAAAAACCAGAATTCCACGATGAAATCTGTAAGAGTAGCGTACGAGATGGCGTACACTAAAGGGGCTAAAAATGGCATCGTAATGAAAAAGAAAAAGGAAAAGTAAAATAAAGGCGGTGTCTAAGAAATGTTGGACAACGCGAACAAGAGGTAAGGCTAGCGTAATCGAACAAAAATGGACGATCTTACGGGTAGCGACAGGAAAGAAACCCCACTAACAGACCAGAGCGACAATATCTTCTCGCTACGGTAGCGTAAGCACGTTCGTACGTTCAGTAGCGTACCAGGTGGCGACCCCACTAAAGAGCAGTGGTGCGCAGGTGGGGACAGCGCTGTAGCGACAGGCCCCGGGGCCCCAGCTCCTAAATGGCATTCAATGCGCGCGGATCTTGCTGCTGGCGACGCCTCGATGCACTGCCGTAATCGACGCCACCAACGTACGATTCCTCCTCGGTGCCGTAGTCGTGGTCACCACGATCGCCACGATCACGATCCGTCCTCTCCAGCCTCGATTTCCTGCCTCCCTCGCTCACGTGTCCGCCGCTGTACTTGCCCGAACCTGTATCCCATTCAGACGAACATTTAGTGGTGAAAATTGGCCGACACTTGATCGGGTATACAACTTATCCTGTGCACTCGAGTGACATTCGAACATTTTACTTTCCAGCAATTTCTTTCAAATTACAAACGTCATTTTTTTATGAAAAACTGTCAAATTTTCTTAATTCCTCAAATTTTAGATTTTGCATGTTTTTTCAAGTGGTGGAATTAATGTTCGTGCCAGAGTAACTTGGCATTTCGAGTGGATAGGGTTGAAGCCTGAATTTCTGTAACTGCGATACCTGTTTTCGTTCATGGACCCACGACAGTGGGCCTGGTTACAGAAACTAAGTTTTTCAGTGTGTAAAATTCGAAAGGTGTGCGTGTGAACTTAAAAATCGTAGCCAATTAAAATAGAGACATTAGGAAAGTTAGTTTTAATCCTCTCGATAAAAAGGTCCCTTTCGAATTTTAATCATCCATTGCTCGATCTCGCAAGTGTAAGTAATATTCTCGTGACCCAAATTACAGTTCCACAAGATCGAGCTTGAAGTTCAATCTTAAACAACGTCACTAGGTTAATTGTCACTGCTAAGACGGTGAGGAGCCAGTTAAATCCACCTACGTAATGTCACACCTAGGAACACACACACACAGCAACACACCACACTACTCACAGTGCATGCAGGCTAGTGCTATGCAAAAAGAGATAAAAAAAAGTCGAAGGAGGAAAAAAAAAAGATAAAGAAAAACGAGAGGCGAGGGGAAAAAAAAGACACGGTCGCAAAGACTCCGACGTTCGAGCTATCGTCGCGCTGATTTGCGCGGATATCGACACATAACTGGGGGGAAAGGGTTAATGTCCTCCTCCGCGGGACTCGTTTCGAACTGGAAAAAAAAGAACGTCGTAATTCTCAAAACTCGGTGAGGCTGTGTTGAGGGGGTGGTGGAGAACTGGTGTTTCGTTAACAAAACAGGGGGATGTGAGAGCACAAAAACAAGCCAATGTCCCGAAAGAAGGATTTCGAAGATCGTCGCTCCTCGGATGAGAATGAAACGTCGCGTCTCAACGCGGTTTCGAAATTAAAAAACAAAACCTTCGATCCTCGTTAAAATGATGCTTCGTTAGGTGGCTACTCTATCAAACCTATTCTATGTGAGAGGGGTTGGTGAAGGGCTTGCGGGACAACGATAAGGAAAAACAATGAAAATTAAAAAAAAAAAAAACGAAGGAACAATTGACAAGACTGTAGTAAAAAAAAAGCGAAAAATTGCAGTCTCTCAAGAGGAATCGTTTCGAAAATTCACTTTCAACGAATTTATCCATGGATCGAGTGTAAAAATCGAACGAGAAACAAAAAACACGTAAATTAGAGAGAAACGCACAGATAATGGACAGTTTTTAGGGTGAGAAAGAAAAAAAAATAGAATGACCAATTAAACAAATGATAAATCCTTCTCTTCGGGCAAGAAAGAGAGTAGGTCCCAATTCACCGGGCCCATGCACCAAACCCGTCTGTACTTACAAACGCGGCCTCGTTAACGAGGCATCCCTATTAACACAGTCTCTAATTTCTCTCAATCATCATCTTTTTTCCCCTGGTATTAAGTGATACGGGGAGAGGGGGAGGACGACACAGTACAATCGGTCACCCGGTCTACGTCGTGAAATCTCTCATCCGCGATGAGGAGGAGGTGTGTGTTGAAAGAGGTCGGTCGTTCTACGCCGAGCGTGTTCGTCGTTCATGCGAGCGTTCTTTTAGCTCGACTCTTTGGGCTTGTTCTCGTCACCCCGACCATAGGTGACCTGGCCCTGTTTTCGGATGACTCCCGTGGCAGCCACCGCCTCCACGGCTTTTACACGTAAACAAAGAGAACATCGGAGTCAGAGCTGATTGTCCATTACAAGTGGACCTGCTGATTTGTTTTTATTTTTTAGTATTTTCTTTTTTCTTTCTTTTGACGTGTCGTCGTCCGTGTCGTTGACATTATCTTACGGCGCGTCGAATGAGGAGAGAATCGAAATGGAAATGAAACGAAAGAAAAAAAGACAAAAAAGGATGCAGAAGTGGATGGACACGCGTTTCTAGCTGTGATGTTAGTCTTGCGTAGCGTGGATACACGTGTGGATTTCGAGTGATCGATCCTCCATTGGTAGACTGTGGAGAACAGCGCTGTTATTAAAGGAAATTAACCCTTTGACGATGATAAACTATATTTTTGAGTCAATGAAAAATGTAACTTTAATATGATTTAGTTTAAGACAATAAGTAAAGCAGTACGTAGTGTTCTATCAACAAAGGGTTAATATTGTACCGATACGTTGAACCACCTGAAATTTGGTCCTTTTTCCACAGGCTATGAAAAAAAAAAAAATAAAAATTAAATAAATCGTAAGAAATATTACGAAAAATACTTGACCCTACCAATCAAGGATCGAAACGTTCGCAATGAGAAAAATGAATACATGATCGACGAAACACGATGATCCCATTCACGAGAAATCCCACTGTCGAGTGAAACTCGGTCGTTGTCAATTTCTCTCTTCGAACGAATTCTGCAACATTCAGCTTTATTCGATGATTATTAATAGTCGCAGACATATGTCACGGACAAATCCACTCGTGTCCATGTAATAATGTATATCTATAGAGATAGAGATAGGCGTAACGTGCACAAGGTAAGCTGCAGCTAAAATATAATAAACGATCGTTGAAGATGAGGTGAAACGTATAGTAGAGATCTTTGAGAGGGGGATGATCGTGCCTTTTCTTGGTTGGAGCGCAAAGTAGGAAGAGGAGAATGAACAAAGAAAAAAAGATGAAAACGTGGTTGAAACTAACGAGAGCGAACGCGCCATTGTCTTGCCGAGGTTGATACAAGTTTCCCGATCCATACATTGCCGCTGAAAAGAAATTCAATGTAAAGGTGTCGCTGCTTCTTTCTACGAGTATCCACTTCTCTCTGTGATACAACGCGTATTCTTTCCCTTTTCTCCACGAGTCAAAGACTGCTAGTGTTCATGCTGATTTCGAACAACGTTGTTCACGAAAAAAACAAAATGCAAAATTTCTCGGTGTGTATGTGTAAAAATGAAAGAGATTCTTCGGTTATAAATATTTCTCCACTCTGTTTATTGTTAACCCTTTAACCTATGATATCTTCTCTCACTGTGCATCTAAGCGTCAGCGATTTACCGTTTTAGTACTGTATTGGATAACAAAAGCTTTAATCTGGTACAGTAATTTTTCTCGCATCTTCACCAGAATCTCTGCCACGAGTCTGACACGTTGTTGTAAGTTAAAGGGTTAATATTTAAAAAAAAGAACGAAAGTGAAGAAATATTCACGTGACCAACAGGAAGACGTAACATTTCTCGCGTCGTTCAACCACCAACAGTGTGAGTACGAAGAAAGGCGTGCAGCGTGACATCGAACGTACATTGTAATAATTTACAAAGGCTGAGTATACGTTTGCAACAGCGACTAGCAGTCTTCCCGATAAGAATAGCCTCTACAATCTAACAACGAGACCATGCAACGACTACGTGCAGCTAATGATACAAGTTACTACAGACGTGTTTCATTACTAGCTTCGAATGTCGCCAGTACTGCTTTTATCATACTCGAGGAACGTCTCGATGAACAGAAAATTGACAAATAAAAACAGAACGGAATTAACAAACGTTAAGAAAAAACAATTTCCTCTTCGATCTATTCTACTCGTACTATACTTTTACTCTCTTTTTTTCACTATACTTCTTGTTCAAGCAAGTAACGGAACACAGGCTGCGCGACAGGGTGAGTTCACAGAAGAGAGAGAGAGAGAGAGAGAGAGAGAGAGAGAGAGAGAGAGAGGCAAAGAGACAGATAGAGAGAGAGAGAGAGAGAGAGAGTGAAGAAAAGGAAACGTGTGTATAATGTTGCGCTCGAGGAAAAGGTTGGGTTACCTCTTGGCTCGTGGCCGTAGTAACTCTCATGATGGGCACCTGAAGGGGCAAGAAGAAAGTGTCGAGTGTTAGTTGACGGAATTGGGGCTCGTTAGAGTTTTTCAAGTGAGCTAGAAACCTCGACCCGGCTGGTCAGGCCAACCGGAGAGAGGTATACGTATCGGGGCTATATGAGAAGGATTGATAATCCGCGTGGGCGAGAATAATGATGATAATGACATGTGTTCGCGGTCACCGAGCGATATAACTCACTGTTGCCATAAAAAAATCGTGTCGTGTGTCTCGTCAGATCTGAATCGTCGAAAGAACAACCTCTCCGACAATCTAACAAAAACACAGTTCGACCCTTCGAGTTGTACCGATCTCGCTTTGCCAGAGAGAACGAGCAAGAAATAAAAAAAAAAGAAACGATGTTCGAAATGAATTTATCACCAACGTGAAATACAAATACTCTACACCGCCTAACCAGGCCAATTCTCCGCGTTAATGAAACTCATGTAGAATATTTGTACTTGGAGACATTCAGCTACGCGATCCTCCACGATAATGTATATACGACCATGATCGACGCGTTGTAACGGATGGAATACCTGATGAGACGCGAGGTGGTAACGCGTCGGCAGGTGCATCCGGCGCAGGAATCGGACGTGGTATAGGCGTGATGATCCCGTCAGGACGTGTGGCCTTCCAATATGCTTCCAGGTACTCGGCCACGTGGTTGCACGCCTCCTCCAGTTGATTCTCGTCGAGGATCACGTCGAACATCTCCGGTGGACACTGGGCTAATTTCTCCGCGGCCACCATTTGCACATTCAGATGTCTGATCTGCGACTTGCCGCGTGATTTGATCAACCGTTGGAGTACCTTAGGCGACGAGATCTTCAAGTAGACGATCGTTGGCGCTAGATTGGTCTTAGCTAGCTGTGACGGATGATTGATTGTGTCGCAGTCTAAAACCACCAACTGAAAGCGAAAGATACGGATAAGAGAGAAAGTGTGTGAAGTGTGTTCGTGTGATTTGATGGTCGAGGATTGGATTAAGTACCTGGAGAGACCTGGCAAGCTCGAAGATCCTCTCGATCTCAGCTTGAACCTCCGCTGAGCAGGTGCTCCTGCCAGCGGGTCGTTCTATCGTGTTCAACATCGATCGCTTTGCCAGTGAAATGTCCGCCATCACCCTGGTGATAATTATTCTGGAATGAGAGACATCGGTGTTTTATCATAAATCTTCACTGATGTAAACCTTCACTGTTTCTCTCTCGTTATAGATAGTGAAGTGTAGAACGAAAAGTGGAAAACGAATAGTGATCCAATATCTGGTGATAAGGGATCTCATTGCAAAGATCATTCAAGACCCTTGCAGCGAGGTCTTGGTATGGGTCATCGCTAGGTATGGGATCATTTCTCACTTTCGTCGATAGTACTCGAGAAAGAATTCTAATCCAAATGACCCCCCAAAAAATAGACGCTCTTAGCTATCTATGTCAAAGTTTACTCGAATTTATGGCCATTTTTCGACCCAAAAACTCCCAGAAACAAGGAAACCTATCGATCTACAATTTTCCAAGGAATCACCAACTGACCTGCCCTCGAATTTATGCTTCAAAAAATCAAACAACGCCTTCTGCATCATGTCCGTGACTTGATAACCCTTCAGTGATGGACCCACCAGGACGACAGGCCTCATTGACGGTACAACATCGTACGGCGTGGTCATTTCCTGAAATCGTGACAGACAAATCAGTCTGCATCAATCAAGAGATGGTACTGCACGCCAGGATCAGCCCCAGGATAGTCTCACTTACGTAGGACTTCGTGAGCACGGAATGCAACATTGAAAACATTGAAAACAGTTAATGGCCACGTCGACTCGAGACATGCGACCTACCCTGCTGCACGGCCAAAGTCCTTTTCACGGCCGCGTGTGTCAGCGAATTTTCTCTTCAGCCTCCGAAGGCACTTTGGCCAAGCAGTTTTGTATCTTTTTTTTTTTTTTTTTTTTTTTTGTTACGGTAACTACGATCGACCTAAGCTATCAACGATTTCCTACGTACTAATTTAACTCGGCTAACAAGCTAATTCTCTACGTGTCTACAGTTTCAACGCGAACCATTTTTAAAACTGGTCGAAGAACCTCGATCGACGATATCCTCGTCGTAACTGTTGCCAAAATGGTCCGCTAAGGTGTAGAATAATTAACAGTTTCGATTATCAATCGATGCTAGAAATCGCTACTCACATTGACACACATTGATACGATTACGTTAGGCAGGTGAACAGAGGAAAGAAACATTTATATGTACAGGGTGTTGAAGAAAAAGGGATCAGACTTCAGGTGCTTATAGTTCTCAAGGAGAAAATGAAAAAATGCTTAATCAAGAATCGAAATCGATCCTTTCAATGCTAAAATCTACTTTTCTATTTTTCGAGTTATTTTGAATATTTGAAAAAGCACGCAAATGTCAATCTTGTATTCAAATGAAAAACAAACTTTCGTGCCTTGCAACGACAGAATTGATTAAGCATTCTCACACTACAGATCCCAGAAGTCTTAAATCCTTTTCCCCAACACCCCGTACATACACAGATTCATAGAGCAGTCAGCTGGAGAAACGATCGACGTTAACGACGTGATTGCTCACGACAATCTGTTGAAACTGCAACGAATTATTGGATAAACTGTTCTCGGCAAGATTTACGCGTCCGAATGCTCGTGTTCATCTCTCGTTTCTTTTCTTTCTTTCTCTCTCCTCCTTCTCGCAGCCATAGAAAAAAGAAAAAAAATGGTAAAATACCACGATGCACAGAGAGATCTCATACACACAAGAAAGTCGCATATACTCACAGAAATAAATCTGCTAGTCCTCGCGTGGCCCACGATATTTTCTAGCACCGACAGATAAATTTAGACACGTAAAGCCTCGTCCACGTCACGCTGGATTCATCGCGCGCGCACCGCACCAATCTGTTTGCCAAAACGGCGAAAAATGTGGATTCGCGACAGAAGACACACGCAACTGGAGAATTCGTTTATCGATCGTCAAGCGAACCTCAGTCGTTGGACGAGACTACGCGCAAATTATAAGAGTAACACGTTTCGAGCTGCCTCGACTACGAAAAAGAACACGCTAAAGATAGAGAGATCCAAGAGGTATCAAGCACGACGGCCAGACGAGTGCGTACACAAGAAGGATTTTTTTTTTTTTCATTTTTTTTGAAGTAGTCACAGACACTGTGGATTCGTCGAGATCGTTTACCGGCTTCTTGAAGAAGTTCTTCCGTTTCTCCTTAACTGGTAGTGTGGTCAACGTAGCCTTACCGCCCCTCACGTTCGCCACGCTGTCGCTGTCGTCACCTGTTAGAGGAGAACAAAGAGAGAAAAGAAAAAATCGAATTACTCGTGGATACGATCGAACAGTATCTTCTGTGCATTCGACGGGTGTCCCTCTTTCTTTCAAGGAAAACTAGCGATAAAGCGATATATATCGAATGCGTTACTAAGAGATCAAATAAACCTAGGGTTTCGCTAAAATGTTCATTCGATGCGTCGATTGTGAGAACTCGAGATCGTGGAAAGAAGCAACTACTTTGATTGTTTCATTTACAGCGAGACTAACAATGTGAGAGTGTAAATATCGGTGTGTGTGTGTGGGTTTGTGCGAATGTTACGTGTGTTTAATAGTAGCGTGGGTGGATTAGCGATGAACGAAGTCTGATCGAGCGTATTAAAGACTGACTGATCGGTGAGGGTATGTACATTGCCACTAATGTTCAAGCTTGGTGATTATAGAACTCTTGCCGCGTGGGTCATCGAGTAGTACAGAGCAATTTTTAAACGTGTATCATTTTTCTTGTGAAAATAAATGAAAATTTTGCGAAATTCATCTGTGTTTATTATTTTGTAAGAAACCTTTTAGTCACGTGAGTTCAATGACCAACGCGACGCAAACTAAACTCCCTAAACGAGTCTAACACGCTAGAAAACTCGGACAAATCTCTATCGAGGACACACCTCGTGACTAAAGGTAGAAAAAACGGGCGGAAAAGATTTCGGTGTGGGTAAGAAGAGAAGCTCGCGATAGAAGATGCGTGTGATAATGAGAGAAGAAGAAAAAAACGAAAGCTACGGTAGTGTACTTGTTTTCTCAGTAAACAAAAAAAGATTGCAATACTTAGGGCCCCGAATTCGTTTCTCTATGTGTCTTTCTTTCTGTCGTATATATATTCTTGTTCTCTTTCTTTCACTTTTCGTCTGTGTCTCTTTTATTTCGTTCGCTCTTTGAATTTCTCTCGCAACGACGAGTCGAGATCTCTCTCTCTCCCTTTCTCCGTCTGTTATTTTTTTTTTTTTGTTTTCACCGTCGGGCATCAATCGGTCGAGATGAGAGAAACATTTTTCCCCGGAACAAGTCGAGAGTACACCGTGGTTTTCGGGGCGGAAAGAAAGAAGGACGTGGTAGGATACCTGGTGTAGGTGGTGTGGAACCACGTGAGGGCATACCACTCTCGCCAAGGTGCGCTAAAGACCCTCCACGAGTCGAATAGAGACCCTTGGTGCCACGTGCAGCGGTCGCCTGCTGCCTCAGGGTCTCCAACTTCAGCGGGGATGGGATGAAACCGACGTCCGCGTTCTCTTTCACGTGCCTCCCTATCCACCAGTTGTTGTCGTACTTCTCCTAAAGGGTGTTGTGCACATTCATTAGCTCGCCGTGTTAATTCGAGACACCCTTTTGTACGTCCGACGACAATTATTAGAAGCTCGACACTTGTATCGGAACTTAGTTAGACCTCAGATAAGCGTATGATTCAGGAAGAATCTTAATTTTTGTTAATTCAAAGGAAGGAGGGGAAGATTAAGTAATAGGAGAGCGACAGAATTTACCTTGATGAACGTAGAAGGATTCAGGAAGAACCTTAATTTTTTTTTGAAAAATTGAAAGGAAGGAGGAAAAGATTAAGTAATAGGAGAGTGATAGAATTTACCTTGATGTGCAGAAAGTCACGAACCATGAAGCTGAGAGCCGAGCCATGGACCGGCGAATCATCGTCGATGGATCCGTCATAACTCACATTGGTCCGCACTGCAAACGCTACCGGTTTCGTCTGAATAATTTTGTACAAGTTCGATATTAGTATATTTTCATCGGAGAATTTTTCTGTATTTTTTTTTGTAATTTTTCTTTAAGTAGTATTACCGGTGATTATTATGCATAGTGGAAAAAAGGTCGTTTATTGTTCGCAATATTGGCTTTTCTATTAGGTCAGAGGGTATAATCGTTTGTACCGTGACGATACTTGTGCAACTGTAATTTAAGCATAAAGTAGAAAGCCGATGAGATCACGGATGATCGGTACATTGTCAACGTTGTCCACGTGACGCGCCGTTAAAGAATAGAAGCGTAATACAACGGTGGGGTGCTCTGTTCGTGTTTATTACGATGTTCTACCCCTCGAAGGTCATGCCTGGTTAATCAATATTCGTTTATTGTCCAGCTGAAGGTGATTCGACTGATCGGCCTCGCATGCCGGCGAGCCATCGTCGGTATTTTTCATAATTCAGAGGGGATTTAACGCCCGTGGATGTTAAACTGTTAGCGCCCGGCTTGACATGTGGCAGAGTTAATTTCGCTTTGAAATCGGGGAGATTTAAGAGTTCGAAAGCTTGAAAATTATATTTGGATGTTTGAAAGTTTGTGAATTTGAAAGCTTGACAATTTAAAAATTTGAGACTTTGAAACCTTGGAAATTTGGAAGTTCGAAAATTTCAAAATTGAAAAATTTGTAACTTTAAGAACTCGAAAATTCGGAAATCCGAAAATTCGTAATATCGAAACTTTGCAAATTCGCAAACCCTAAAATCCGCAAAACGCTACAAGTACAATCTGCAGAATAATTACGAGTTCAGCGGAGTTGGAACGTTTTGTATTGGCATTAGAGTGGAACGTATAATTAAAGGCAATAATATCACGGTTGGCAACACGTATAATGCATTTGCATCTATTGTCGAAAACAATGGCCACGGGAGACGTTTAATTGGTTTCGCCAACCGGCCTCTCTTTGTGAAATCTCATTAGTCTCGCGGGCGCGTATTCATTGACACGCTTCTCATTCCTCCTGGACAACTTACACGCTCGAAAGTTTCTCGCGCCGGGTGTCACGTTTGTAGGCGCAATGACGCCTTGTGCTTCGTTCGGAAGTCCGTCGTCGATCGATACCAAACGATTTACGAAAGAGTGGCGTGGAAAAACAAGCCGCCGGGGGTAGGTAGGTAGGTAACAGATGGGAGGGAAGAGGAGAAACTGGAACATGCGAAAGATCAATGACTTACCCTGGCTCTTTCAAGTTGATCGAGGGCCTGCCTCTCCTTCTCACGACGCAAGTTCTCTTTCTCCTCGTCCAGCGAGAGATCCGAGCTCGGCTGTGAGTAGTTCGAGTCTGCCGAGCCCTGAAATACAAAACAAACTCGTTTAAATTGCGCCCCGAAGGCTACACCGGGGTTATTACATTCGAATCGTTACGACTTTTCTACCATTTCGCCGATAATAATATATCGAACCTCTTCTCGCTTTTCTCCTCGTAAAAGTTCTCCTCGATCTTTTCTCTACCTTCCTAGCAATATTTCGTATCATCTTCAAGAAGCTTCGACGTATCGAAGAACGAAATATAGAGACTGCAAATTTTTATTAATTTTTATATATTATTAATGGAAATTTTGAAAAATAATTCTTCACGATTGACGAAGAAAGACTCTTAAAATTTTCTAACCGACTTCACGTTCCAAGAACTGCAAGGAGCCACGACATTTTGCCCACGAAATGCCTTGGAGAAGTTCTCAAAGGCTTTGAGTGTCGTGGACCATTAGTTTAAAAAGAGAAGTTTCGTCGGTTCGGAATCGACCGTGGCCGGCCTACCTCTAAAGTGTCCACGTCTTTGCAAACATCTTAAAATCGTAGTTTCTAATTGTTTGTTATTTAAATCGAAGCGACTGGGCATGAAACGTTGTGCTTCTTTTCGTAAGAAATTTACTTCGTTCAACCTTCCTTCACTACTTCCTATTCCCTTCAATCCCATTTCCAATTACCAAAAATTGCTCGTATCCATATCAAACATACTCAACAAAACCCATCTACAAACCCACAATATCGAGAAATAAAAATTTCTCAAGAACACGTGAATTCGTAAAGATAAGTAGAATCAGACCGTTCGTGGTCAGACATCGGTATATTTCACATACGTACATTTCACATACGTAACTTTTCCCAATGGGTAAACAATACGAAATAACTATCATCACGTCTCATACTACACTTTTTATCACCCAAAGAAAATTTGACCACGTTCTAACTCCATTTATAACCGTGAATGCGACGATAGGTACTCGTTACAAAAATACAGCTGTTCGTTGATTCAGCGTGATTTTCTAGAATAATCGCAACACGATTGGGCAAACGGCTCCGTGATATTATCCACGACAAAAATTAGGATTCTATCTATACGACACGATCGTGCGACGTAGTTCGTTGCGTCAGAGCACGCGAAACGTTTGGCCAAAACGTTTCAGGAACGGCTCCGGTGACGTAATCGTCCGCGACAATGTGGTGAAAAGGGGATCTCTGGCGGTCAATTAATTTACGGATTGATTGGATCGATCGCGTCCCAATGGAAGTCTTATCGAGGTGGTATGCACGAGAAATTCACCAGTGGACAATTTCAGCGAGAGGAGAGAGAGAGAGACGCAGTTTCCGACAGTTTTATCGATCCTTCGACATACGACATTGACGTATTGATCCGCTGTTCAAAGTCAAAGCTTTTACCTGTCCCGTAATTAGACACTTAATTAAATGCAAAGGATGCCCGGCGTGTATCGTGCCACTTAGGCGACTATTCGATTTGCATTTCAGACGTGTTGCATACGACTTCATCTCGAGAATTTCTTTCGAGACGTATATATAGCCAGGAGGAGGCAGAGAGGAGAAAAGTTCCGATTCGTTTATACACGAAACGATTCCCTGCTACTGCCCCTCGCCCTTTAAAGAAGGGATTTTTTCTCTTCCAAGGCATGAATCCATTCTGTCCGGGGGTTGTAACCATGTCAACGGCCTTTACTTAATAGTCTCGCTCTGTCTCTGTCCTTCTACCTCGCTCCTTGTGCGTAACTCTGTGTAAACTCGCCTATGCGTACCTCCAAGACCTTCTTCGACTCCCTGGGGAACGAGGAATGCTTCGAAGGAACATCTCTGACGATTTTTGTAACGGAGAATTTTCACGTCGCTGGGCGAAGCGGCGGTGATAAGTGTTTATCGGTGAATCTAAGTTCTTTCAATTCTTTCATTGCTATCGGCGTTTTAAAAATTTGCTCGCGCTATAATTTTTGGAGCCTGTTGATACACTTGCACCTTAATTCAGCCGTGGTTAAAAATTTACCATCAGTCGCCCACGTTACGCGTTAAAATCTGCCGCAGTGAAAGGGTTAAGTTCTTTACGTTATTAGACTCCGATAGTGCGCACGGTGAATTTTCTTTGAAGACACTTACTGCGTTTTGTGCAATTTTATGGTAATCTAGAGGCAATTTTTCAACTCGCAGATCAAGTTTGAATGTTAAATTGAACATCGAAGTATTAAGCTGACAAGATTATTCGTGACCATTTGTGACGCTAATTTAAGTGCGCTAGATTGGTCGACTCGACAAATATTTATAGAAATTGAACTTTGAAATATTAAGTTGACAAGATTGCTCGCGCGGCGGATACCTGGAGAGAGGGAAAAGAATATGGGTACGAAATGCATAATGCAGACGAAGTGATGAAAACTTGACACGTGTAGAAAGGGAAAAGAGAGAAGTGTGTGGAACAGGACGAAAACAGCGGCTGCAGGAGCAACAGAGCATACAGGGAACGCTCGGTTTCACGCTGAAAACGTAAACCAGATCGATTTAGATTGCAACGCAAAGGATCGTTGCTTGTGCAGTGATAGCACGGCTCGCCGCTTTTATTTCACGCCAGGCTGATTAATGTAAAACTTGTATGACGCATCGCCACGCCATGGAAAACCCTTTTTAGAAAAATCGAGAGAACTAACGAAGACACTTAACAGGCGCCATGCTGTTCCCTTGTAGCTAATTTACTTTGTGCAAGGAGGGCGATTCATTGACACCCTTTTTATGAGACGTGTCCGCGTTACAAGCATTATCCTCTTATAACCCTACCTGTTCTTGCTTCACGTGTAAAAGAAAAAAATAGCGACAAAGTGTGAACTGGAAAAAATAGTCATTTTTCGTCGTAACGTAATTAACAATAAGAACGAGAATTAAATTTTATAGTCTTTGTGTATTTCTGAATTAATTAGACTTCGTATTAAATTTCATTGTAATTAATTGAAATTTCTTCACGATTGATTAATTATTTAAGTCATGCCTCTTTAGAGTAACGTTCGATACATTAATTGGTTACAGCTTCCATATTGATATAATAGCAATTAATTTACGTTCCCTCGCAGCGCGCTGCGAGGGAAGCAGCGTTACCAAATATAGATCAAAACCCTTCGGAGAAGTGTTCCATCTAACGAAGTAACAATCCTCCAAACATCGTTCCTCCTCGGAATATTAACAAACGTAACTTGAAAATGTTCAAACTTCGTTGGATTATTAATCGCTAGCAACCCCGATATTAAACCCACGGCAATTAATATGCATATCGTTTGGAACCTGTCGAAAATGTACTTTACATTTCCACTGAAAAATCGTTTCGTACGATAATACGTTTAAGAACCGAAGGAACAATTTTTGCCTGGATAAAAAGAAAATTCCGAAAGATTGCCAACTGTCCTCAGCTTCTCGACCTTTCCTCTATCCCTTGGAGGGAGCACAATGAAACGGGAATTCAAAAGACACTTCCCGTGGGTGTACCTGCGTAAATAGCTTGTTGTAGCCAGAATTGTGTTGATTGTATCCGATCATCGCCGGAAGCCAGCGCCGTCGTCGCCAGGGCCGTTGTTCGAGTGGCTTTTATCCACCTTCGACGCCAGGGCCCTTCGACTCCTTTATGGCCCAGTTTCCTTCTCCGAACCGGCTCTGTGGCACGACCAGCGCGATCAGCTTAAAGCACACGCTTACCACACGCTACCGCATTGCGTCTTTTTCTTTATTTCCTTCTCCCTTTCCACCCTTTCCACCCTTTCCTTCCTAGAAGATCGAACCGCGGCTCGTCGAGATTGATCACTCCGCGATCGAGATAGAAAAATTCAGCCGTGAGCACAGTTCGCGAAAGTTTACGTGGAACTTTGGTGCGCCGTTACGCCATCCTGGCCAGCCGCGAGGCCGTACGGGCACCGGGACTTCCCTCAGGCGCTCTTCCACGACTTTTTCCGCTTCCGTTTGCAAGCCATCCAAACGCCAATCCACGTCTACTCCCTTCGGTTTTCGAGCATCATCGCAACTCGACCACCTGGTGCTTCGACCTTCGCGAGCATCGTGAACTTCGACGCGAGACGGGCTCACTCTTCGACGATCTCCTCTTGGTGTTCACTCTCGAACACGCTGCAGAGAAGATTATCCTTTGCTTAGGGTCAAACGAAGTTAAATGTGGTTTGATCACTTGAACGGATGAACGCAAGTAAGAGTTTCATGGAAATGGGAGAATTCGAAAAATTGTCGCTTGGGCCGAGTATACATTTCTGAGAGTACACTTCAGAGCGTACTGATGGAGTTAGGAAATGGGAGAATTCGAAAAATTATCGCTCAGACCGAGAATACATTTCTGAGTGTACACTTCACGGAGTACACTTCAGAGTGAACTGAGAGCGTCAGTAAATGGGAGAATTCGAAAAATTATCGCTAACTTCAGGATTCTTTGATACTCTATCGAAGAAACAGTTCCTTTAACAAGAAAAATAGAGAAACCTTATTTATCAAAGAAAGAGAGAGCCTACTCCCTTCTAAAAGGCGTCTTTTATTATCAAATCCACTGTTTCACAGCACAGGATATTAAATGGAGCAAACATTCTGCTTCGCCAAATACACCAGACCAAAAACAACAAGATAAAGTCTAAATTTTTAGAGCAAAGCTTCTTACAGGTACTTAATCTTTTACGAATCCACTATTGGAAATATTTCAAAGCACGAATTTCTAGGTAGATGAAATATTCTGGTTCGCTATGTACACTGTACCAAAGGGAAGATTATGGAGATCAAATTTTCAGAACTCTACCTCTTTCAAGAAAACATTGACGAATTCACTACTTCAAATATTGCAAAGTATATTTCACCGAATGCATAAAATGTTCCAGTTCAATGTATATAATAAAACAAAATTTACGCAACAATACATTTTTACTAAAATTTGATCGAACCAAAAACAAAGAACAAACGAGAATTCAAGCTTCAAACTTTCGCAACACAATTTGCTATTAACAATATTTCTATATGAACATACACTTATTACGTCAAA